ACTACTACTACTACTACTACTACTACTACTACTACGACGACTACTACTACTACTAATACTGTTACTACTACTACTACTACTACTACTACTACTACTACTTACTACTACTACTACTACTGATACTACTACTATACTTACTACACTACTACTAACTACTTACTACTACTACTACGACTACGACTACGACTACTACTACTACTACTACTACTACTTACTACTACTACTACTACTACTACGAATACTACTACTACTACTACTACTTACTACTACACTAACTTACTACTAACTACTACTACTGCTAGTACGACACAGAGATGATAGCCATTCTACTACGACTGCTACTACTACTACTACTACTACTACTACTGCTACTACTACTATGACTACTACTACTACTACTACTACTACTACTACTACTACTGCTGCTACTACTACCACAACTACTACAACTTCAACTACAACTACAACAACAACAACAACTACTACTACTACTACTACTGTTACTACGACTACTAGTACTAGTAGTACTACTACTACTACTACTACTACGAAGAGGACGACTACTACTACTACTACTACTATCTACTATACTACTACTACTGCTACTACTACGACGACGACTACGACTACTACTACTACGACTACTACGACTACTGCGACGACTACTACTACTACTACTACTACTACTACTACTACTACTAAGTACGAATACTACGACACTACTACTACTACTACTACTACTACTACTACTACTACTACTATACTACTATACTACTACTACTATACTACTATTACTATAACGACTACTACTACTACTCTAACTACTACTACTACGACTACTACTTACTACTACTACTACGACTACGACTACGACTGCGACGACTACTACTACTACTACTACTACTACTACTACTACCACTACTACTACTACTACTACTACCACCACCACAACCACCACCACCACCACCACTACTACTACTACTACTACTACTACTACTACTACTACTACTACTACTACTACTACTACTACTACTACTACTACTACTACTACGACTACTTCTCCTCCTCCTCCTCCTCCTCTTCCTCCTCCTCCTCTCCCTCCTCATCCTCATCCCCCTCATCATCATCGTCATCATCATCAGCATCGTCACCATCATCATCATCAGCAGCAGCAACATCGTCCTCATCATCAGCAGCAGCATCATCGTCATCATCACCATCATCATGAATAGCATCACCGTCATCATCATAACCATGATCACCATCACCATCACCATCAGCATCAGCATCGTCATCAGCATCATCGTCACCATCATTAGCATCACCAGAAGCAGCAGCGGCAGTATCAGCGTCAGCATCATCATCACCATCATCATCAGCAGCATTATCGTCAGCATCATCATCGTCACCATCACCATCACCATCATCATCATCATCATCATCATCATCATCATCATCATCATCATGATCAACATCATCATCATCATCACTGGCAACATCAGCATCATCAGCAGCATCATCCTCATCTTCATCATCATCATCATCCTCATACTCGTCAGAAGCATCAGCAGCAGCATCATCGTCATCATCAGCAGCATAATCATCAGCATCATCATCACCATCATCACCATCACCATCACCATCACCATCATCATCATCACCATCACCATCATCATCATCAGCATCATCCGCATCATCAGCAGCATCAGCAGCAGCATCATCATAATCCTTATCATCATCTTCATCCTCATCATCATCCTCATCCTCATACTCCTCCTTCTCCTCCTCCTGGTGCTACATCGGCCCCATCACCCATCCCTCTTTGGAATGGGTGCGAAACGTTTGGCCACGTGGGCGTTTCCAAAAGGCAGGGGGCGGCGATGATTCGCCGCAGGCGTCTCCGATCTGCCGCCTCCTGCGGCTTGCAAGAGGGGGTGTTGGCTTGCCGAGGTTTGACCTTAGGTCGGGCATGTCCCCCTACAGACGGATGTTGGAGGAAAAATGAAGAATAGTCAAAAAATTCCCAAAAATGATTTCAAAATAATCTGAAAATCGTTCCCCAGCTATTTTTTGACCATTTCTGAATTTTACTCCTGTAGAGGGACACGCCCGACTTAAGTTCAATCGGTTAACCCCCTCCAGGAGGTTCCCAGTGGGGTCTCGGCCGCTCCCGCCACCGCGCGCCCAAAAACAGGTGCTTCATCTGAGAAATCCTCGCAACACGACGTGCTCGAGGATGTTGATGACGACGTCATCTTGGCGGCGCGCACACGCGGGTGGGGGGAGGGGGGAGGGCTTCTCAAGAGGAGGCTGGCTCTTAGAAGGCGCCGGCCTTACATCTGTAGAGAGGGCCCGCGCCTTCTATGAAGTAGGGGTGCTTTTAAGAAGCCCTCCCCCATCCCCCCACCCCCCCCTGCGCTTGGCTGATCAGTCCATAAACATGGAGCGCTCGCTGCAGACATCCTCAAGAGCGTTGCCTCGCACTTGTGGGGGATCTGCCGAGAGGCCGGCGGCCACGAGTTTCGCCTGAGACGTCCGCACAAAATGGAGATGTCGGAAGACATCGTTGACGACGTCACTCAGTGAAGATGAGGCCCACGCTGCAAATATCCTGAGAACATGGAGATGATGAGTGAGCTCGCGCATTCTTCGTATTTTCAAAACTTAGGCTTTCGCCTGAGACATCCTGAAACATTGTGTTTCCAATTAGGCCCGCAGACAGCGCAAGAGGTCCCCAACCAAGAGTGCCACAAGACCGCCCAAAGACGGTCAAAGATGGCATCCGATGGCTAAGATTGCCCAACTTGGCCTCCCAGATGGCCAAGATGGCCACGAAGACTTCTGGGAAGACTCTATACGGCCTCCAAGCCGGCCAGCACGGCCCGAAGTCGATCCAAAATAACTCCAAGACGGCCTCAGGTGACCCAAAGAGGCAACGAAGAGGCCCCCACAGGGCTCCCAGGAGGCCCCAACAAACCCCCAAGAGAGGCCGCCTCCAGTCCCTCTGCTTATAGATGACTTCTCCCTGTCGCACCCCGAGGCCAGTTTCTAAGGCGGGCGGGCGCTTCGCCTGAGACTTCCTCACCACTGATGACCTTGAAGCTTAAAAACTGGCTACGGCTTCACAGCTTGAGGGCGGGTTGTTTTCACAATGGTCTTCACCATGTGACTCTCGCCTTAGCGCCGGGCATATTCGTTGTTAAATATTGCGAGAGCTTCACGGATGGAGGGCGGTTCCTTTTCAAAATGTGGTTCTCGCCTGCGCGCCGCGCACATTCGTTGAAAAAAATTGCAAGAGCTTCACGTCTTGAGGGCCACCCGTTTTCAAAATGTGGCTCTCGCTTTAACGCCGCGCACATTCGTTTTCAATGATTACAAGAGCTTCTTGGATTGAAGGCGCTTCCTTTTCAAAATGTGGCTCTCGCTTCAAAGCCGCGAACATTCGTTGCAAAAAATTACAAGAGTTTCACGGATTGAAAGCGGTTCCTTTTCAAAATGTGGCTCTAGCCTTAGCGCCGCGCACATTCCTTGATATGTTCTGTAAGAGATTCATGGATGCCCACGATCAACGTAACAGAAATCGCGCTTTAGAAGGATTCAAGGTTTTGAGCGCGCGACAGTTACGTTGATTCGCGGTGTTGAAATCGGAACGGCGTTCTGGCGCGATTCTGGATCGCCAAGACGCAACAATCAAGTTGATCCGTGGCGTTGGACTCCCGAGAACCATGTTTTGGCATGCTTCAGGGTCTTCGAACGGTTGTCTTCCAACGCAGAAGTTCCATCAGTGGAAATGAACCCTTGTAGGGGCCTGTGAAAGGGGAGCCTGGAGGGAGGGTGTATTCCAACACCGTTGATGACTCTTGGGTCTACACTGGTCCTCCTCCTCCACCGCCTCCTCCTCCGCCTCCTCCTCCTCCTCCTCCTCGTCGTCATCTTCGTCCTCATCCTCATCCTCCTCATCCTCATCCTCCTCCTCCCCCTTCTCCTCATCCTCCTTCTCCTCTCCTCCTCCTCCTCCTCCTCCTCCTCCTCCTCCTCCTCCTCCTCCTCCTCCTCCTCCTCCTCCCTCCTCCTCCTCCTCCTCCTCCTCCTCTTTCTCCTCTTCCTCCTCCTCCTTTCCCTCCTCTTCCTCCTCCTCCTCCCCCTCCTACTCATCATCATCAGCAGCATCAGCACCAGCATCAGCATCACCATGATGATGATCATCATCATCATCATCATCATCATCATCATCATCATCATCATCATCATCATCATAATCATCAACATCATAAGCATCATCATCAGCATCATCATCCCCTTCTCATCACCATCACCAGCATCACCATCAAAAGCAGCAGCAGCAGAATCATCATTAGCAGCAGCATCATCAACCTCACCATCACAATCATCATCATCATCATCATCATCAGCAGCAGCAGCAGCAGCATCAGCATCATCATCATCGTCAGCAGCGGTATCAGCATCAGCATTATCATCATTGTCATCATCAGATTCCGCATCATCATCATCATCATCATCATCATCATCATCAGAATCAGCATCATCATTCTCATCTTCGTCGTCATCATCATCATCGTCATCGTCATCGATCTTCATCGTCGTCACCATCATCAGCAGCAGCATGATCATCAGCATCGGTAGCAGCAGCGGCAGCGAAATCCTCATCAATAGGAATCGTTTTCATCATCGTCCGCAGAATCCTTTCGTCAGCAGTGTCAGCATCATCAGCGGCAGCTGCATCACCATCACCGACAACAACAACGTCACCAACCAGCAGCAGCATCATAATATTCAGCATCTGCGTCAGTATCACCATCATCATCATCATCACCAGCATCATCATCAACATCATATTAACCACCTTCATCATGATGATGATCATCATCAGCATCATGATCATCATCATCATCAGCAGCAGCATCATCATCTTCCTCCCTCTCTTGCTCCTCCCACTCTTGATCCCCCAAGTGTTTCCGCAAAGGTTTCCACAACGGCTCGGGGAACACACAGTCCGACAACTCCGCCAAGCTCTGCCCACACGATTCGCCACACCACGGGCGTTTCCAAAAGGCAGGCGGCGGCGGTGGTTCGCCGCAGGTGTCCTCGATAATTGAGAGCCAGGTGCTGGCAGCAGCCCGCATCTGGTGCGCGAGCGACCGAGGCGCCAAGCGGCCCAGCCGAACGAAAAAACCCATGCACGGCACAGGGTCCCTGAATCGGAAGCCGGCAACTGCACGCCACCACCAGCCTTAGGTCGGGCGTGTCCCCCTAGAGGCGGATTCTGGACGGAAAATAAAAAATGGTCAACAAATCCTCAAAAATAGTCAAAAGGTAATGGGAAAATCGTCCACTGACAAGTTATTGACTATTCTGAATATTCCTCCTGTAGAGGGACATGCCCAACTTAATTAACACCACTGGCATAGGGGGGAAACATCGACCTGGAATCGGCGGTACATCGCCGATAGATCGGCGAGAGGCCCCTGATTGTGAATCCGCACGTTCTGGGGCAGGTTGGGGCTATCGGGCCCCTATCGGCGATCAATGGGCGATTGGAGGGTGCTTCCCCCCCCTATGCCCCTGACCAGCTCAGGCCAGGCCCATCCCATGGGCCCCCGGGCTGCCGTGCAGGCCCTCCCGGAGCCATGGCCCAAGCGAGGCAGGGCGCACGACACCGGAGCCGGTCCGCGGCCCCAGCAGGATTAGCACGGGGGACGCGGGTCCGAAAGGAAACGGGTCCTGGGCTCCTCCTCCTCCTCCTCCTCCTCCTCCTCCTCCTCCTCCTCCTCCCTCCTCCTCCTCCTCCTCCTCCTCCTCCTCCTCCTCCTCCTCCTGTTCCTCCTCCTCCTCCTCCTCCTCCTCCTCCTCCTCCTGCTCCTCTTTCTCGTCCTCCCGAATCCCGTGAAGGCCTCGAGAACCCGAGAACGGCGAAAAAACTCAGGACCCGTTTCCCTCAGGAGCCTCGTTCCCTCATGGCGAAAAAAACCTGGCCGTTGGCCCGTGGCGGAGTGCAATTACGAGCCTCCGAAAGGGCTGAGACCCGAAAGGGCCTCGGCCTCCCCGACGCCGCCCGCAGCGCCCCCTCGCACGTAGGCGGCGCAGCCGTGCGGCAAGCGTTCTGGGCCGCGCGGCTGGGCCGATCGCCCTGCGCCGCGCCGCGCCCGCGCCTCCTGCGCCTGAGGCGGTCCGAATTCTCTGGCACGTTTACCTTGCGCCCTGGCATGAGCAGGGCATGGTGGCAGAGAGCGGGGGGGAGGAGGAGGAGGAGGAGGAGGTTGGAGCGTCTGGCGAGGGGAGGAGAAGGAAGAAGAAGAGGAGGAGAAAGAGGAGGAGGAGGAGGAGGAGGAGGAGGAGCGTCCGTCCTCAGGTGGGTCCTGATCGGAAAAGGCCCGCAACGGGAGGAGGAGGAGGAGGAGAAGGAGGAGGAGGAGGAGGAGGAGCAGGAGGAGGCGACGAGGAGGAGGAGAAGGAGGAAGTAGAACTGCGGGGGGGGAATTTTCACGAGAGAAAGCATTGCGGCAATGCGGTGTACATAGCGGGCTTTTCAACGTATCGATAGATGTTAAGCACGCGCTGGCGCCAAAGCCAAATGGCGGCAAAGCACCCCCGCTAAGTCGAAATTGCGCGGGCGATCGAACATCTCTGGCGGAGACGCAGAAAAGGAAGAAATGAAACCAGAACTGTCAAACCCCAGGCACATTGCACACTAAGCTTGGCAGGAATGCCCTTCTGCTGTCTGGCCTGACTGCGCGCGGCACGGCGGGAGGCGGGCCCACCCCTGTCGGGGCTCGCTTGCGCTCGTAAGGCTAGCACTGGAAGAGCTCACACGAGTAGAAGTGGCGCGAGATCGGTCCGGCCGCTTCTGCGTCTGTTTGGTGGCCCCTGGGCCGCAGACAACAAGGTCTGAAAGCCTGTCGCGAGAATCACGCACGGCGGGCGGCCTCGGGGCCACGCGGGGGGGGGGGGGGGGCGAGATCGAGGCGCGACGACGCCTTGACCAGGTTGGATGGAGGAGGTGGGGGATGGAGGATGACCGCGAGGGATGCGCAATCCTTTTTGCGCTATCGCCTCGGGCTCACTACCTCTGTCGCGCTGAGGCTGGGAGCCGCTGCGGCCTCGCTGCGCCCCCACCTCCTTGCCGGGCGCGCCTGGGGTGGCACTGTCCGGCGAGGACTGGCGGTCGTCGTCGCCGGCTGCTGCGAGCGCCGCGGCGGCGGCCGCGCGCCGACGCTTGGCCTTCTCGCCCCCGCGACGCGCCTTCTTCTCGGGCTTGTCGCCGTCGGCTTTGCTTCGGTCCTTGTCATTGTGTTTGCGCTGGCCCCTGCCCGTCGCAACTGCTGCATGTCCGCGCGAGCCGATCGGCGCCTTTGCTGCTGGCGCGACGCCGGAACGTAGGCGGCAGAGATAGTCGCCACCCTGAGCCGCGGGCTGCGTCGCCGCTGCACCCCATCTCCTGGCCCCACTGCTGCTCGGGCGGACACGGCGGGGACCTCGGCGGGGAGCAGCGCGGAGGCGCGGCCGGCACGCGCTCGATCCGCGACGACGTGGAGCGCGGCGACCTCGGGGCAAGCTTGCGAGGGCAGCTCTCGCTGGAGGGCAGCCCCAGGGCTGCCTCGCCCGCGAGACAAGGCGGATCCTGGCCGCAGCCCGGCCAGGTGCCAAGGTTGACCAATTGCCGAAACCCGCGGCACTCGGGCCATTCCTGAGGCGACCATGCCGACCACGTCTGAAACAACTCCGCGTTGAACAGCACCTCACCGAGATGGCCTCGCCGTCGTCGGTCGGCCGCACGTCGTTCACTCAACCAACTGCGCGACGGGCCCAGCCAGCGCAGGCAGCGCGCATCATCGGCTCCATGACCGCGCCACTGAACAGGCACTTCCGCGCCACAGCGTCTGGGGCGGTCTCGCCGATGCGCCAGCCCCTGAGGACGGCACGCGCACTTCTCCATCAGACTCGCCGCGCGGCGGCTGCTGCGCCACCTCCTCACCCAGCGCCGTGAGCGGCACCTCAGGCGGAGAAGGCGCGCGCGGAGGCGCCGCCGGCGCAGCCTTGCTGGTCGGGTTCTTGCGCGCAGGACCAGTCGTCGCGGCCGAGCGCTGACGACGGAGCGACGGGGGCAGCTGCCAGACCGAGCGGCGGCTCGAGCCTGTAGATGCCCCCGCCGCGCCGACTGTCCTGCAGCGATCCTCTGGCCGTGCCCCAGGATTGTCTTCGGGGGCGCTCACGGGGGCGCCCCCAACTACCGCGGCGACGGCAGCGGAGGCCGAGGGGGCTCGCCCCACGGAGCGCGGCCGTCGCGCGCGGCGACAAGCGGCCGCCAGCGCGCAGCAGCGCGCGTCGGGCGCCCGCGCGCGGGCCCGCCGGCGCGCGAGCCACGCGGCGGGGCCCCGCGCGCCAAAGCCGGTTGGCGCGCGGGCCTGCCCTTTCTGGAAAAGGCGCGACTGCTCTCTCGATGGATCTACGCACCTTAAGTGCAGGACGTCGACTGCGCCTGCGCGACTGACGTTTCGCCGATTTCATATGCCAGAATGATTGGGCATCTGTCTGGGCAGGGAAGAGACTTTGGAACTCTGGAGCTTGCACGTGGACCTCTCCGCCGGGGTCCGAGCTGGTGTCCTGACAAGGCCCCACCGACGTGGTCGGCGCCATCCGCGGGCGCCCATGCGGCCGCAGGACACGCTGCCTGCGGCGGCACGGCGCTCTGCGACGGGCCGGCGGCCCACATTATAGCACCTCCCGCGCTGGGAAGCTCGGCGGCGCCGGCTGCCCAGGGGTCGAAGCCCCGAGTGCGCCAGGGGTTCATAGAGGGCGCGCCTTGAATGCCATCGTTGGCCATGCCCAAGAAGCCGCCGAACGACGGCGGCGACCGAAGAGCGCTGGCGACGTTGTTACGCGAATGCTCTACGATGCGGCCCATATGCGCCAGAGCATAGTCGTGAGACTGTTGAACTCAGGCTCCGTGGATGGATATCCGTTGCCGCAAGACTGGAGCAGCGCCATGATTTGGCTAGCTGTGACGCCAGCCGCTGGCTAGCTGTGACGCCAGCCGCTAGAAAGAGCAGCCAGCTGCAGCCTTCCCAGACATCGCCGCTCCACCGTTGTTCGAAAAGCTCGCGGGTAGCCTGGAGGCGCGGTTCCTCGCGGACCGAGCTGCGTGGCCAGGTTCGCGATAACGTAGGTCACGGCGGCCTCGTGCTGGCCGTTGACTACGCCTCCCTCTGTCATATCTGCGAAGCTCATGGAGCGCGCGAACTCGTGAGCGGCCCGACCGAGGTCGAGGATGACGGCAGCGCGCTGTTGGGCGCAGTCCACGTCGGCGGCGAGTACGCTCCAAGCGAGCAAGTCTTGCACCCACCAGTGGCGGAATGGACGCGCTGACTCGCGCTCGGGTGACTGGCAGAAGATACGGAGGTCCGCCTCTGCCTGCGCGAGCAGCCCCGGGACGTCGCCTAGAGCACCCTCCGCTGACCAGGCCGCTGCCAGCATCTCCTTCCGGAACTTGAAGCCCTCCTCCTGGGCCTCGATCGCGGACGGCCAGCCCCCTGGCGGGGCCTGCTTGTTGCCCACCATGTGTGCCGCCGCCACGTTGAGGACGGCGCACTCGCGCAGCTCGATCTCTGGCGGCTCGCCCTGCGTCGAGTGCTGCAGCCCATCCAGTGTTTCAACGGTCTCGGCGTCCAGGGCTACCTTGTCGAAAGTGGTTTCACCAAGACCGCCTCCTCCGCCCAGCAGGCCTGCTCCACCAGGCATCATGCTGGTGAGCCAGAAAAGGGCGACCACGAAGAACATGAGGATGCTGCCCCAAGCCGTCAGGATGGAGATCCTCGTCGAGAAGACTCCAGCACGATGAGGGTTGCGGAACCGCCTTGTGACTCCGGCCTGCGCAAGGACGAACGCCATGTCGAAGTGGGGAGCAGCCGTAAAAATGCGGACAACCTTGGTCGAAGCCAACGGTGGTGAGACTGGTGCGTTCGCATTGAATGCTCCACTCGAGTGGTGCGACGTGCTCGCAGGGACGGCCAGCACTGTCGCACGTTTCACGGAGCACGGTACTAGCCCAGGGGGGGCCTCGCCGTCATGCCCGACGCGATATTCGCAACCATTACCTGTGGGGCGAGATGGGTCGTGGGAGACGTCGTGGCGCTCCCGTGGCCGTGTGCTCCACATCGCGTAGCAACCTGCAGCTGCTAATGCCCTCGCAGCTTCTCAAACGATGCTGCCTGTCTGTGAGCGTCTGGGGCGCATTGTCTGAAGACTTGCAGGATAGCCATAAGCACAAGCTGCTCGAGGATTGGAGGGTGGTACCAATGCGGAAGCGAAGGGGGAACCGAATGTGCGCGCGTCCACATTGCAGTATGCGCACGTTCCGTCAATCGCAAGCTGAGATCGCTCCCAACTCCGCAACGAACTAGCATTGCGAGGATTGGGACCTTGACGAGAAAATATTGCGGCAACAACATGTAGATGGTGGGTTGTTCAACTGGTGGATATATGTTTGGTACTCGCAAGCACTTAGACCAAACGGCGGCAGAGCATCCTATTTGAGTGAGGATGGAGGAGGAGGAGGAGGAGGAGGAGGAGGACGGGGAGGAGGAGGAGGAGGAGGAGGAGGAGGAGGAGGAGAAGGAGAAGGAGGTGGGGAGGAGGAGGAAAAGGAGGAGGAGGAGGAGGAGGAGGAGACGGTGGAAGAGACGGAGGAGGAGACAAAAGCAGGAGGAGGGGGTGGAGGAGGAGGAGCAGGAGGAGGAGGAGGAGGAGGAGAAAGGCAACGGCAGCTCTGGGAGCCCCCCACGAGAGATCATGGCCTAAATCATGGCTGCCGAAGCCTCGACTGCGCACCGCTGCGCGCCGAGCAGAGAGAGAGAGAGAGACACAGGGAATGGCCAGCGGAGAGAGCGCGCAGGAGGACGAGGAGTACGAGGAGGAGGCGGTGCTCTCCTGCTGGCTCCCGGCTCTCGCAGCCCCGAAAACCTACCTATTCGTATAGCACCTCAGCGACGTCTCGGCGTCGGCGAAACAGCCACCGCAGAGCCACCTTCCGTGGAGCCGCCTTGGGAGATGTGAACATTAGCGGTGCTTGGCACGCGCACTTGTAGCGGGAACGCCCGACGAGCTTCTGGCCCAGCCTGGCAGGGGCAGTGCGGTCTTCTTGCCCCCAGCGCCCCAGGGCAGCCCAGGACCTCCAGCGGCGGCGGGAGCGGGCGAATCAGGGCGAGAGCAGGAGAGCGACTAAGGCCGCCGTGCTGCCTCATCCCTGGCCACACTGACGGAGTGCAGCTCGTTCGCCAGCGGATCCAGCACGCTCTGGGAGTGGCCGGTCAGGCGCGCCAGGCTCTCCGGCCAGGGCTGCAGCCCGCAGAGCTCGTTGCCGAGCAGCAGCGCCGCCGACGCGAGCTGGGAGGGCGTGTGCCAGGCCAGCGTGTACTGTAGCATGGCGGCCTCCAGGATCTTGGTCGCCGCATCCCTGCGCCGATCTGCCCGCGCCAGGTCCTGCTCGAGGTCGGGCACGTCCCCGTACAGGCGTATCTGGGACGAAAGATAGAACAGATTCAAAGAAATGCTCGAATTTGATCAAAGAAATAATAGAAAAATCGTCCCCAGACTATTCTTTAAAACTATTTTGGATGATTCCTCCTGTAGAGGGACACGCCCGACTTGAGTCCTGCTGCTGCTCCCCCGCCACGGCGGGCCGTCCACTCGCGGGGCCGGCTGCGGCGGAGAGGTGCACCAGGAGGTGGAGCGGCGTGGGGCTCGCGATCTCGAAGCGAAGCCTGGTCAGGATCTCGAGCTCTTTCTTGACCACCTGCTGCTTGTTGCAGTCGCTCGCGAAGTTCTGAAGGAGGTCTTTTACGTCGGGGGGCTTGATCTCCTCGAACTTGGCCGCGATCAGGAAGGCGGCCATGCCCACAAGCTCCAGGTGCCTCTGGCGAACCTCGACCAAAGAGAGGTAGCGGTCGAGGACGTTAACGGACAAGAAGACCGTTTCCCGACGGAGCCCGAAGTGCTCGCGCAGGCTGGAGAACCTCTCGACCAGCGCGGCGCGATGCTCTGGGGTGATGTACGGCTGCAGACGCATGAAACCCCACTTCGGTGTGAACTGCGACTCCCGTGACAGCATCTGCTTAACCATGTCCTGTGGGACTTACAGAAGGAAGCCAAACACCGCTGCACCTTAGGCGATGTTTAAGAAAACTTAAGTTTTCGGCCAGAGTCTCGATTATTCTTAACGTTTCAATGTAAGTCTTAAGATGTTAATAGAAATGTTGGGTTTTTATTCAAGTTCTGAGACTATGAATTTCTGAACCCATGATTTCTTAAGCATTTCGCAGGGTGTACTTTCCAGACCCCTCCCAGGGAGCGCTCTGATCCAGACGCCGAGGCAGCTCCAGCCGTGGCAACGAGGGCCCCCAGGAGGCCCCAAGAAAGCATCTCGGCATCGGCACGACTGCCCACACACACACACACACACACACACACATCAACCCCCGCTCAAAAATCCAGAACCCCCCCGGGGCCCATCCTGGCAGGCCTCTCGAGCCGCGCCCAGCCATGGCGACGAAAGCCCACGCGAAACGCCGCAGAGAGACTTCCGCAGCGACCGCGCCGTCCACGCACCGACGCCGCCAACGTCGACCGCCACGACGACGACGACGACGACGACGATGACGACGACGACGACGACGACGACGACGACGGCGACGACGACCACGACGACGAGGACGACGACGACGACGACGGCGACGACGACGACGACGACGAGGACGACAACGACGACGACGACGACGACGACGACGAGGACGACGACGACGACGACGACGACGACGACGACGACGACGACGACGACAAGGACGACAAGGACGACGACGACGACGACGACGACGACGACGACGACGACGACGACGACGACGACGACATCGTCGCCCCCCGCGTCCACGGCGTACTCGCCCGCGGCCTCGGCGTCCTCGCGGGGCCTCGGCGGGGCCAGCGCGGCAAAGCGGCCGGCGGCCGGGGCGCCCCGGCTCGGGCGCGCCACGGCCAGCACCTCCCTGCGGGTGAGTACCGCGCTGCCCGCGGGCACGGGGGCCTGGAGGGGCAACGGTAGGGGGGGCGGCTGGCTTAGGGCAGGGGCGGGGGGGGTGATGGGCATCTCCCTCAAGTGTGCGAGCGTTCGGATATTTTGTCCATGTGCTGTCTCCCCCCCATATAGGGGGAACGATGAATGACATAAACATGAAACTCGGAGGTCCGCGCGGATTTCCCGGATCCGCGCTGGACCCCCCCTGGCGGCGCCTCCGACGCCGCCCCTGGCGCGCTCCGCGCGCGCTCCGCGCGCCGGGGAGGGGGGTCCAGCGCGGATCCGGGAAATCCGCACGGACCTCCGAGTTTCATGTTTATGTCATTCATCGTTCCCCCTATATGGGGGGGAGACAGTACATGGACAAAATATTCGAACGCTCACACACTTGAGGGAGATGCCCATCACCCCCCCCGCCCCCGATGTCAATGATGATCTTATCTTGGTAAGCCCCTTCGATTGCCGCACCCTCAATATCAACTTGGGGGGGTCGGGGGTCATCTTGCGCCGCTAAGTTCGAACTTATTGTCCAGGTATGGGAACATCGACCTGGAACTGGCGATACATCGCCGATAGATCGGCGTTAGGCCCCCGACAGCCAATCCGCAGGTTCCTGGGCGGAAGGGGCTACCAGACCCCTATGACGACCGATGAGCGATTGGGGATCGATGCATCCCCCTGTCCCCCCCTATCGTTTCCCCTGAGGGCCGGCAGGGTGCGGGGGCAGCCGGCCATGGCGTGCGAAGTGCTGGTGGCGGAGAGGCTTCCCAGATCTCCTTGCGTCGTGGACGAATCACAACCAGGGAAACAAATCGGCCCCTGACCCCAAAAAACTGGACTGCCCATGTTCGACGTAAACTGGCAACTCTCTGCGGCCAGATGGCTGATAATGAGCAACGTCTACATCACAGAGCGGGGAGGTCCAGGAAGAGAGGCATGGCACGCCTCGACAGAAACCTTGCCACGACTTGCGGCCACCGCGATCGCTCCAAAACTGGCCCGAAAAGTTGGCTCTGGTTCGGACATCACGTAACGATTCCCTGATCCCCTCGCGTCGTGGACAAATCACAACGAGGGGGGGCTTCTGCCCACTTCGGTCTTTGGGGGGGCCCTTACTGGGCCACGGGTCCGTCAAAGAACTACTCAGGATACAAAATAGCGGGTTCCCCTGGGAAGGGGTCCAGACCTCATCCCAGGGCCCATGTAATGAACAAATCACGACGTCGGGAGTCTGGGATACGCGAAGGCATCTGTACACCACCACCACCACCACCACCACCACCACCATACCTGGCCAGTGTACGCGCCCTCTTAACCAAGGCCAGGAGGGCCTGTACACCTTCTTGGGGTCCAGAATTGTAGAAGTGTACGGTTGCCTTCGTCGGATGAAGTGCCTGTGGCGGAGGGGCTTGTAGAAGACCAACAAAAGACATGAAAGTAGACCTTCGAAGGTCTCGCGGATTTCTTTGGTCCGCGCTGGACGCCCCCTCCGCCACCCTCCCTTCCCTGGCACGCGGAACGCGACGGGGGTGCAACGCGTGTGGCGCCTGCCAGGGGCGCGGGGAAGGTGACCTGGCGCCGACCCACGAAATCCTCGCGAGCCTCCCAAAGTCTATGCTCATGCCCTTCTGTTGGCTCTCTATGGAGAGGCCTGGCTTCCTGGGCGGCGAAGTGCAGTCTGATCGACTGCGGTCTGGGCCAAAATGGCTCGGCGAGACACCGCAGGGCAGGGGCAAGGGAGGCAGCGGGGCCTCGAAGAGAGGCGCGCGGTGGCCGCAGAGGACGCGAGGACCCCGTGCCAAAGCAGCCCCTCCTTCTCATTCTCCCTCCTGCCCCGTCCTGCCCCCTACACGACGAACGAGCAGCACACACCCGTACACCCGTACCCCCAGGGGGGGTGGGACGGGGCCACGGGTGCGTGTTGCCGGACGTGGGTCCCTTATCGAACGGGGGCGCCCCCGGGGTCCGACCACCCGCACCCACACGGTGGGGGCATTGGACAAGGAACCCTTAGATAAGGAATCCAGGGCCTGGAAGCTGGTGGAACTCGAATCGTGGATCGGCCATGTATATCATCGCCGCCCTCATCAGCTAAGGAACCCTGCAGGGCCGAAAGCCTCCGGCGCACAGTCCTTCACGAATGCCCCCACCGTATACCCCCCTGCCGCGCCCTGCTCCGTACATTTCCCGCTCCACCGGGGCGACGGAAAGACCTGGCCTTACGCAAGAAGACATAGCGACCTGGCGCGGCGGCTCACGCGGGCCGCCAGCGCGGCGCGCTACACTGGAGACCAGGGCGCCCACGCACGACCTTACGCGGGCAGCTTCCGCGCCAGTGTCGGCGCAGACGACCCCGCCCCTCTGCATCACTCACCTTCGACTTGAGGCTGAAGAAGAGTCGCCTCATCCTTTCACCCAGCTTTAGGTCGGGTATGTCCCCCTCCATGGGGATGTTGGACGAAATCCAAAAATACCCCCAAAAAATTCAGATATAACAGAAAATGCTATAAAGATCGTCCTCATACTACCATTTTACTAATTGTTAACATTCCTCCTGTAGAGGGACAGGCACGACTTAATGCTAACGACAGAGAAGCCGAGGCAGGCGCATGCGGCACAGTGCAACGAAAGCCTCCAAAAAGCAGGAGGGGCAGGCGGCAACCATTCAGGAACCAAGGGCACGCTCGCCGGGGTGCCCTGTCTTCAGCCAGAATGGCACAACTGACAATTTGCTCCAACTTTTTTCGTCGGCGACGAGGCGGCGAACTCCGCTCCAGGGAGAAGCTAGAAAGGGGCACGAACTAGCGAATTGGCAGGCGGGCCAAAGAGAGGGGGGGACGGCCGAGAGGAAGAAGGGACGCTCAGAGCAATTTGCTCCAACACGCCAATGAAAACATGATCCAGCAGCGTGTTTCTGCCACGTCAAGGGCGCTCTGAATGCGTGAGTGTGCGTGTGGGCGTGCGACGTCGACCAGCCTTCCTCCTGTGCGCTGGGGTTTCAGCTTGATTCGTACCAATCGTTGAATTGCTGCAGCTGCTCTCCTGAGTCGCTCTTGACGCCTGCCAGGTCCGCTGCAGGACTCGCTTGTCTCGACTCTGCTAGCTCGCACTGACCTTCGCCCAACCCGGGAAGACACCGCCCTTGCTCGAGCGCTCGCGTCAGACGCACGTACGCAATTCGCGCCGGCGCGCCCCCTTCTCGGCCCCGCACCCATCAAAGCCCACATGCGTCCACTTCTTGCCCTAGGTCCCCAGACTTTGGCCTTCCTCAAGCGAGGCCTCGTCCAACCCCCCCCCTTCCATTCAGGGAGCGGTTTCACCCCTCTCCCTCCCCCCTCCCCTGGACCTAGACAGGGCGCCACGCGACCCATTCTCGGCGAGAGGGCAAAAATCACTGGTATTCCGTAGGTGTTGGCCCCATTTGGGCTCCCGGGCGGGCGAGGCCAATTGAGCCCCCCCTTCGTTGATCGAACTCCTCCAAGATAGTCCGAACGTGGCCCCCAAGACTCCCAAGAGTGCCCCAAGATGGCCCCAAGAGGCCCCCAAGAGGCCCCTAAGAGGCCCCCAAGAGACCCCCAAGAAGCCCCAATAGGCTCCCCCGAGGCACCCAAGACGCTCCAAGAGGCCCGCGAGACCGCTACGAGGACCCCAAAACGCCACAAGAGTGCCGCAAGAAGCTATCAAGAGACATCGTAAGAGACTCCGAGAGGCATCCAAGTGGCCTCTGATATTTCTGCTCGCCCTCCTCCTCCTCCTCCTCCTCCTCCTCCTCCTCCTCCTCCTCCTCCTCCTCCTCCTCGTCATCATCGTCATCATCATCAGCAGCAGCATTATCATCACCACCACCATCATCATCATCATCAGCAGCAGCAGCATCATCATCAGCAGCAGCATCAACCTCCTCCTTCCTCCTCATCATCATAATCATCATCAGCATCATCATCATCCTCATCATCATCATCCTCATCCTCCGATCCCTCGTCCGTCCTCCCCATTTGGGGGTATTACGGTTCCCCAGCCCTTTGTTCCACTGCATGCTCCTCCACATCCCTCGTCAGGGCAACTCGCCTGGGCATCGTTTCTGAAAGGGCTGGTGGGCTTACGCGAAGCGACTAGAATTGAGCCCTAAAGCGAGTTTCACAGGTCGGGCGTTTCTTAGCGACCCGCCCCCTAATTCACCGCATGCAGCCAACCCCAAGCAGAACGGCCCACGGCGCGGTTGCAGATAAGCGCGTCAGCGCAAATTTCCAGACCTCCGACGTCGAGGAATTGCTTCGCAGCGTGCTCCAGGAGCTCCAGGAACCAGATGGTTTTTTGTGGGCCCCGGGGCGGGGCGACCTCGGCGGACGCCGCCCCACTGGAGAGAAAAATCTCGCTGCATGCCGCCTCCTCCTCCTCCTCCTCCTCCTCCTCCTCCTCCTCCTCCTCCTCCTCCTCCTCCTCCTCCTCCTCTTCAGAGTGTCCCGCTCATAGGCAGCGCAGAGAGCGAGCCGAGGCTGCGGCCCGGGTGCGCATCCGGACTGGGCACCGAATAAGAAAGCCCAGGACGGGGCAGCATGCAACGGCGACCTGCGAGGCAGCGCGAGAGCGACACGAGGACATCGCCAAGAGGCATCCGCGGCGTCCAGGTCTCCAGGACCCCGGGCCCCCCCCGTCCCCGAGGAGCGGTGCATGCGGGTGCTGCCCCGCCCTCGGGGAGAGGGGGGGGGGGCTGACATCCGCATCCACCGCTCCCCGAGGCCCAAGGGCACGACTCCGACGCGGAGGACGGGGATGTGCCCTGGCCACCTGCGAGGCAGCGCGAGGGAGGCGGAACGCGACGGGAGGCGAGAGAAGGATCAGAAGACCCGGGGGTACGCAGAGGGCCTCCCTGCGCCCGCCGCACGGCAGGAGCCCTGCGGCGAAGGGGCCGCTGACGCTGACCAGGTCGGGGCAGACCTGGTCACAGAGAAAGAAGGTGGGAGGAGGCAGGGGGGGAGGATGCAGGAAGATGTTTCGTGCTATTCCGAAAAACCATCCTATGGTTTGGGGTCCTCGTTTTGAAGAGACGGTCCCCGCGATCCTCCTTCCTTCCTTCCTTCCTTCCTTCCGTCCTCCTCCCCCTCCTCCTCCCTCCTCCATCATCATCGTCATCACCCGTTCCAAGCACACCACTCACACATTTCGTGGCCCAAGGGGGAGCTCATCCGAAGGTCCCTGTGTTACAGCCCGCATGCGTCGCCCCTACCCAGTACAGCGTTTCGTGGCCCTATAGGGAGCTCCACCGAAGGTCCCACTGCTACCGCCCGCATGCGTCCCCCCCCACCACCAAGTTCAGCGCTTCGTGGCCCCATAGGACGCTCCACCGACGGCCCCAATGCTACCGCCCGCACGCGTCCCCTCCACCCAGTACAGCGTCTCGTGGCCCCGTAGGGAGCTCCACCGAAGGGTCCCGGATCTACCGCCCGCATGCGTCCCCCCCACCCAGTACAGCGCTTCGTGGCCCAATACAGCGCTCCACCGAAGGGTCCCAGATCTACCGCCCGCATGCGTCCCCCCTACCCACTACAGCGCTTCGTGGCCTCATGCGGAGCTCCACCGACGGCCCCAATGCGCCCGCATGCGTCCCCCCCATCCAATACAGCGTTTCGTGGCCCCGTAGGGAGCCCCACCGAAAGTCACAGCGCTGCCGCCTGCATGCGTCTCCTCAACATGCGTCCCCCCCACCCAGTTCAGCCCTTAGTGGCCCCATAGGACGCTCCACCGAAGGCCCCAGTGGCAAAGTTTGCACCCACCCAGTACAGCGCTCCGTGGCCGAATAGGGAGCTCCACCGACGGTCCCAGTGTTTCCGCCCACATGCGTCCCCCCCACTCAGTACAGCGCTTCGTGGCCCCATGGGGAGCTCCACCAAAGGCCCTAGTGCTACCGCTCGCATGCGTCCACCCCGCCTAGTACAGCGTCTCGTGGCCCCAAACGGAGCTCCACCGAAGGTCTCAGCGCTGCCGCACGCATGCGTCCCCCTCACCCGGTACAGCGTTTCGAGGTCCACACGGAGCTCCACCCAAAACGATACCCACAACTGCGAGACTCACAACTGCATATGGTTGGGTCATTCGCCAGTCTGATTTAATTCCCAACCATCCTGTGGTGTTGGGTCCTCGTTTTGAAGACACGGTCCCCGCGTTCCTCCTCCCTCCTTCCTTCCTCCCCCTCCTACCCCTCCTCCCTGCGTTTCACCCACCCAGTACAACGTTTCGTGGCCCCATATGGAGCTCCACCGAAACCCTCAGTGCGACCGTCCGCATGCGCCCCAGAACCCAATTTGACATATCACCCACCGTTTACAACGTTTCGTAGCCCATACGGAGCTCCACCGAAGCCTCAGTGGGACCGTCCGCATGTGTCCCGGAAACCCAATTTGGCATTTTCACCCACCCAGTACAGCGCTGCGTGGCCCCATAGGGAGCTCCACCGAAACCCCCAGTGGGACCGCCCGCATGCGCCCCGGAAGCTCAATTTGGCATTTTCACCCACCCAGTACAGCGCTTCGTGGCCCCATAGGGAGCTCCACCGAAGCCCCCGGTGGGACCGTCCGCATGCGCAACGGAAACCCAATTTGGCATTTTCACCAACCCCGCACAGCGCTTCGTGACCCCTTAGGGAGCTCCACCGTTTCGGGGCCCCATAGAGAGCTCCACCGAAGCCACTAGTGGGACCGCCCGCATGCGT